TTCATTATGTATTGTATATTATAAGAGTAATATTAAATAGGCTTGCTATTCATGCATATACTTATACGAAGCGAATATTTTATAACATAGTAAAATGAAGAAAAGAGTAACTAATGTTTTTGATGGATGATAATTATTTTTGTAACTCAGCTTGCAAGTTTTTTTTTTTTGTGAAACTTGTATATTTTTCTTCAAAGAAAATGAGGAACGTAAGTTTTGAGGCGACGTTTTCGCAATGCCTCTCCAACACCTTCACAGCCCATCGCAACAAGATATCTATCATTATAGGAACTTTCCATTACAGACTTTTTGGTTTAGATCATATGATTATTACTTATAACGACATTATTTGTGATTGTATTCAGTTCTGATAATAATCAAAATTTTAAATTTAAAGAATTAAGACAATTAAAAGTCACGAATAAGTTAACAATAATAAAGGTGCAAACAAGATGCTTGTTTCAAAGAAAAAGAATTCTTAAGATATATAAATAGGAAAGGGTCTTTCCTGCCAAGAGAGAATCAGGGGAAAAAGGATCGCCGTGCAGAATTTTTACGCTCTATGTTTTGTATTGATGAGACGAAATCAAAGAGAATATGTGAGTTCCACATTTGAGCCCCAAATAGGGCTATCCTGACATACTTTCTTTGATTCGACATGTATTCACCTCTAACGTAATCGAGATATTCTAACAATTCTTCTAGCAACTATCAGCCAAATAAAAATACCATTTGAAATTCAAAATACGAAACCAAATCGTTCATGACTAAAATTTCTAATTTATTAGTATTTTAATTGATTTCAAACTTTCTTTTAATACATGTGTCAATCGTATTTGTTTTGATGTTTATTAAAATGAATCAGGATTTTTATATTTTTCATTTCAATACCCATCTTATAGGAAACCTTTTTCTAAAACAAGCCGTTATAGAAATCACTTATCTAAAAGGATTATTTATAGCAAAGAGAATAGCTCAACAGATGATAATAAACGAAAACTATGCCTGAACAGATATCTCGAAAAAGTTTAATGAAGATATGAGATTTATATATAGTATTCTAATTTGTACCGATTGATACATAGTAATATATGATTAGCCAATGGATTCAACGTTATAGTTCATATTAGTAGTTCGATAGTCTAAGAATCACTGTATCCCAATATATTAGAAAAGCAGAAACTACTACTTGACTAATCGACTAAACATCAAATGGCTGACTACCCAGTCCACCAGTCAGGACTGGGACTGGGGTATTCCTACATCTGAGTCTCATCGGATTGATTATGTCAGTTTAATCTGTTGATAAGCACAGTAGATGATAACCCTGTTCTCTGTCGAATAAGGTCGTGTGCACTGATTATATGATGCGGTCGAAGGTGACGATTTGATCAAGCGAATGATGGGGTTGATCGACCTTTTTCCTTTCGGATACGATGGTTTAGGATCAGTCTTCTAGAGATGCATTTTATCATTTGTCAAGAGTTCAGCATGGTAAAGGTGTGCACAATAGATCCTAGTATCCTGTAGCATAACTAACAGTCATTTTTACGAGTGAGTAGCGAAAGCTGAGTGCTAAAGTCATGAATGACGGTAACAAAAATATAGATGAATCATATGTTGACTCCAGTGAATAAGAGCGATTTCCAATCGCCAAAGAACCTCCATTTCATGCAATACATTGTGCTTATGAATCAGAATGTAACTCAGTCAGAGCATTCCTGATCACTAATTTATAATGTGAGAGCAAGGAATTCTTTTCCTAGCGATTTCAGCGTCGTCACTCGAACATATGGATACTTGCCAGGGAAAAATGTTTATTTAAAATGTTCTTGGCAGCTGTTACTTCCAAAATCAAACGTGGGGGAAAGCAAAGTAATTCACGTTGCAGAGCGATCTCTTCTCTATTGAGCATGTTGTTCCACCAACCTGGACCATCGCTCTTTTCTCAACAGGAAATGATGTTGTGTTCTCAAAGTGGTGAGATTCATACTGTTGAATTCTCAAAGCGAGTCTGGTTTCTCATGTGATTTTGCACATCGAATCTGATTTTAAACGTTCAATTTCTTGGAGACGATGATTCGCACCTTTGAGTATAGGTCATCTCTCTGCAACAAAACGTCGGATGAATTTTGAAGTTTTTTTCTGTTAAGGAGAACATTCTCTGTTCAAACTCAACTACGGAACAATTCTGATACTATATTTGCAACCCAACTAGTCGTCATATTATACGGTGCCGTATACATTTTTGAGTACTCCAAAGTTTGATAAAACAGCTAGTTAGAAAAAAATCAAAGAGTGCCGCCGGATAAGTGAGCAAATTTGACTCATCATCCGACTCATCTGACAAGTAACATTCATTGAATGTCAATTCACTTGACCCTAAACTGAAAGCTTTTCGTACAATTCATGCATGATTAAAATTTGAAACACGATGAAGCGGATTTAATCGGAAATGAGAATGCTACGTTTTCTACAGCTCATGACTAAGTTACAAGAGCAGCATGTTGATATGTCTGCTACAGCCTATGAGGTGGGCCTGGGGAGGGAAGGGTTCACTTTTCCCGCTATAAAATTAAGCACTCATTGACAATCATGTTTCAACAATTCGAGAAACTAATAGAACGGTATTCTGTCAACTGAACAGAGGGCACTAATCTATGGGTCCTCTGATCGTGCGAGTTGCATGCATAGAAGTTGGATGTTAATATGATATTCGAGCATTCACAGTTAAGCCTCTTAACATTCGAGCCTTCCACGAGAAAGCTTTGTTGGAAGAACAAAAGTGATGTATTCAGGTGAACATCTTGTACGCAAGATCTTAGTCATCATACAAGATATCGAAAATTCAACAAATTTTACAAATCAAGGTACCAGATGATGTGATTATTCAGGAGTGTTCCAACTCCCACTCTAGTCCGAACTCCGGTACACTTCTCTGTTTTTCTGAAGACACCTCATGAAAACTTGTAGGTCTTTTATGCAAAGTCTTATGTAACTTTGTTCTATGCAGGATGGCCCATAAGTCAGGTAACGCAGGTTTTTTATTCAACTTATTTCTTATACATCGTTAGTTAGAGCTCATATTTATACTACAGATGCATCCTTGATTACTTAATTTATTCTGAAAGTTCGAGCCGTATAGAATGAGAATTCCTTGAGAAAAGTGCTGATACGTCTCATGTACTCCAGCAGCAATGAATCAAATTTTGCTGGTTTCCTGCTAAATTTTCTTTTTTTTATGTTCTCAATAATATCCATTTTTGCCACTTAAATTAGGTATTTCCACTTGTGTTTTTATCGTTCAAAACTTTTCAGATATAATTATTCGTGCAAGGCCTAGAAAAAGCATACAAAAGCGAAATCATTCATCGAAAGCTGTTGTTATTGAGAACATAGAAAAAAGAAAATTTAGCAGGAAATCAGCAAAATTTGATTCATTGCTGCTGGAGTACATGAGACATATCAGCACTTTTCTCAACGAATTCTCATTCTATATGGCTCGAACTTTCAGAATAAGTTTCGGAAAGTTTGAGAAGCAATAAGAAGTATTCGAAAAAAAATTCATCAAAATTGGTTGAGAGCATCTGGTTTTATTCTGAATTAATGCTTGTAACGCTAACAGCACAATAATCATGCAACTGACTCATATGTATTGATCTATTTATGTCCTAACTGAGGTTGCCGCCTGTTTGCACCATTTTTTGGCTCCCAATCAGTCATTAAATGTATAAAATAATTCCATTCATTATTCCAATTCATCTATGAAGTGTGTCGCACTGTATCCTGTATGTTTCTTCTATCCGTAGATGTTGCCTACAATCTACCAAAGTTTTCTTCATGTGCATCATGGAATCCAAATGGCATCACTTTCGCAGATCACACCACGGTGGGCTCCCATCCGTTTGCGGTGTTCGTTGATAACAACAACACTGTCTACGTCAGTGATCAAACCAATAATCGTGTTCAAGTATGGCGCGAAGGTAGTGTCACTCCAATAAGAACGCTCTCGGATAATCGTTTAATTCAACCACTTGGTCTCTTCGTTACAAGCAATGGCGATATTTTCGTTGGCTATTCCTCGGACAATCAAGTACACAAGTGGTCATGGAACACGACGAGTAGTGTACCAGTGGTGAATTTTAGTGCTTCTTGCTTCGGACTCTTTATCGACAAGAATAATAATCTCTATTGTTCACTTTCGAGCTCCCTTCAGGTCGTCATGATAACACTTGACAACAGTACGAACATGGTAACAAACGTGACAGGTGATGGCTCTTCCGGACCAACTCGTAACAATCTTTTGTACCATTACAGTATCTTTGTTGACCTTATGCTCAATCTATATGTGGCAGACTGTGGCAGTAACAGTGTTATACTTTTTTCGCCGGGACAGTCGAATGGAATAATAGTGGCAGGAATTAGAGCACCCATAAGCTTTCCGCTTCATTGTCCGACAGGTGTTGTACTCGATGCTGACGGTTATCTATTTATTGTGGATAGTGGCAACAACCGCATCGTCCAATCAGAACCAAACGGATTTCGATGTGTGGTTGGATGTTCGGGTACAAGTGGTTCTGCATCTAACCAACTCAATTCTCCATTTGCACTCAGTTTCGATAGTTATGGTAACATATTTGTCACTGATCAAATGAACAGTCGTGTTCAAAAATTTATTCTTGCAACGAACTCTTGTGCTGTTGAGTGACGTCGTAGACGAAATTTCTCGTCATCACAAATAAAAACGAGTACAGTATAATCTGCCCCAAAAAAAAGTTAATTTACTTAGGGTGTACCAAAAGTTCTGATCACGGCGTTACTTAGCCATATAGTAAGCTTTAAAAATCTTTCTTTCTATATAAGCCTGATAGAGAAAAGAATGCTCTATTTTTCTATGCTATTTGATCATACTTCAACTAATATTATGATAANGTGATTATGGTGGATAATGTTTCTCCTGTAACTCCCTTAAAACTTAAGCCTTTTTCAAAAACCTATATTTATTCTGAAAGAGGAGAATACGGCGAATCTTTCTATGAAAAAAACTCGATTTCCGATTTTTTTCGAAAAATCGGGTTTTCTGAGGGGGGGTGCCCCCTTAACGCCGATAAGTTCCCATGGATAGAAATCATTTGCTAGTTTCACCATTTTCTTGATTTGTTGTCGACTATTACACAAATTTTGTTTGTTGCAAGTAAAACCAAGATGATTCCAGTCTGATGAAAGGGGTGGATCACCTTGGACAAGTGTAATTCTAAAATATAGACGAGGAAATATTGTCACCGTACTAGCATTTCTACATTCTCCTTCAAAGTCAGTCTTGTTATTTTCAATTATTTCAATTCCATGACATCCATAACCATTTCGACATGTTATGGGTTGATCCTGATTATTCGAACACTGTTGCACATTGACTACCGTTGGATCGAACAGTGCAGCCCGTAGTTCGTTTAGTATTGGTTCATTCTGAATTAGTGTTTGTATAGTTAAAGTGTAAAATACTCTTGCACAATCAGCTTCAGTCTTACAAATGTATGTGATGTTGGCATCCATCATCGTTGGTTCATCAAATTTATTTTGAACTGATAGGTCTAGACGAGAATTTCCAATTGGATTATATCCACCGGTGAGATTCAGGCGAATTTCTTTTGTTAAATAATTCGTACGAAAAACAACTTGACAAATATTAGCTTCAACAAAGTTTCCTACGCAATTTGGTGGAAGTTCCGTTGGATGATTGAATGATAGTGCAATATCAGTACAATTTGTGCACATGAGACAAGTAACCAAGCATAAGCTTGAAATCGAATAAAGAAGCGTCAAAGTCGTTTTAACAAGCATCATTATCAATGTAGTACTTTCTACGCATGGAGAAAATGAAAGAGAAACGAAATTTAAGAAGTATTGTGTTGTTGTTAGATAGCAAGTGTGTTTCGTCATTATGGCCGAGATATCACTACTTTGACTTTTTTTTTTGCATTGTTCACATCCACTAAACATAAGCTAAATTCTTTTTTTCTGTTACATAAAATATTCTTAGGCACTCAACTACCCTTACCTTCAATGGTTTACCCAAGTTAGAGAATATTATTCTGAGGAAAAGTCACAAAGGATGCAGACCTCTTTCACTTGGTTTAAAAGTTATGAATTTTTTTTTGATTTTCCATAGAGAGTCATGGAAGAAGCTAAGTGTTCGATAAATTAGGTTCCAAGTGAGGAATCTGTTTCTTCATAAACTTTCGATCCTTGCGCGATTTTTAGACATTTTTGCTCTAAAATTCTATATATTTAAGTCAAAATGATTAGATACATCTCAAATATTGAACGATGTTAAAGAATTTTAGCGTCTATCGACGAAGTTTGAACAAATATCGAATAAAGATTGTTGTGAATTAATCAATCGTATGGTGACTGAAGGTGGAATGAAACCTAAAGCATATTACATAGGGTAATACAACAATTCGTGCACTTCGTTATATCTATGCAGAGAAATGACATCTCATCTATCTCTCTAAGTCATATATTCAACATACTTTTTATGATATTTCATGAAAAGTTTCATTTTTATAACTCACTCTTGATATATCCTTGTGAAGTAAACAATAGGTAATGAATTGATCTCCTTGGTTATTCTTGGAAATTTAGTAGTTTTTGGAGCTTCGAAATGTTAGGAAAAGTTCTAAGTGGAGAACAAATTTGATGTGAAATCATTAGAATATATTAGACGCTGGTCTGGAATTGCAATATTTGATGAAAATTATTCTCAGGATCTAAGTAAGAAAGGGAAACTAATGCTCCAAACAACATTTATTCAAAAACAGTCGTATATGTCCACTTTTTTTATGACATCCGAGCTATTATTCATCATATAGTTGTTTCTTTGATGTCTAGTAATACTATCTATAATGCTGATAAATGCTTCAATTTACAAATAAAAACTTTATTGAAAAAAAATGTTTACATAGTCGTGTCCAGTCAGTTTTGATCGTGGTTTGTTCAACAACATATAAAATAACGTCATTACTTACCGTAAAGTGAAAGGAATGAAGTTAAGACTCATCAAGCATATTCACTTCGGGCAAGGCTTCCAAAATGTTAGCTGTTAAAATGTATTCAACATTAAATAGATAATCAGCAAGTACAACAGTTGAGCCAGAGTAATAACTAAGAAGGATGTGGATGTGAGTGGGTATCTACTTTTCACAATAACATCCACACTCATACCCCACATCCTTTCTATGTCGTTTTATAGAAAAATTTGTGGTGTGTTGCATGAAATGTTATATAGGAAATCTATTTTTCATCAGATTTCAATATTCTGATAAGTCATATGTTTTTTCAGAAATATCATAGTAATTGTAGATAATACGACCAAATATCAGGACGCAATATCTTGCCAAGACAACCTATATCAAATTTGTTTAAAGTTATTGCAAATGAATTTTGTCCGATTTTTCAGTAATGTATATGTAACAATACCCTCACTAGCTTTTTTTAGTACGCAAAACTTTAGCATTTTATCAAGTCCTGTAACGGCTGACCTCTATAATGTTTTAAATTATTTGATACTGCTCCTGAGAGCAAATATAACCAACTATTCAACTCTCTAATGAATTATGATGTGAATGTAGGTCTGGAGTGTGATTATAGGTTTAGATGGACAGAAAATTCATACGTACAACAACACACTCTGGCTCATACATTATCAAACGATTATCCTTATTCTTGGATAAATACGATTATATGCGTACTGGTTATGAATCATACGCTATCATGAAGATATTTGCTTCGCAAAAAAATCAGGCACATTAGGCTTATTTTAATCTTCAATATTTTATTGAATCTGAAACATTCTTTTTTGACCAAGTTGAGAAATTTGAATTATTTAAAAAATGCGAAAGATCACATGCATTGCGTATTATCGATGAATTGCTAAGTACTGTTCTGTGGTAAATGCTCTTCTAGGAAAAATGTAGTATCGATGGATAGATACGCTGCACAAAGTTAAGCATGAGTTGAGGTACCCAGTGTAAGCCATTTTCATTTGGTACCACACTTTTGTTACAGAAATATTTCAAAAGTGGAATGTAGCGCGCGATTGTATAAACCCATCGGACTGATGTCATGCTAAGCTGAGCCAACGCATGGCTATGTATGTGACTGAAACAACCGGTTGCAACATTTTATTGGAAAACCACACCATGCACTTGTTGAAGTATCCAAAGTAAAAATTATAACAAAATTTGAGTCTTTTGCACCGTAAGTGGTTCCGATATCTTTCGTTGAAAAAATCTTTGAAGTTAATGAGAATTCATTATTACCGAGGTCTACAGCAGCTTGAACAAAACCGAACAACAGTCGTTTAAATCAGATACCAAGCAAGATTACTGTTGCAAGAAAAGTCTTACCTTTTGTTCCAGCCTATTTCATTACTACTCACAAGGCACAATGTCAAACAATGCGCAAAGTTATCGTTGATTTAAAACTTCTATCCGGAAGAGAGGAAATAGCTTCTCGTTACGTACCATTAGGTCGTGTCAAATTTCGAAAAGATATTGCTATTTTAAGAGATTTTCTTTTCTCAGCGTTACGAGTGAAACCCAGCAAAGCTCAAAGAGCTGAACTCGATCGACTTGACAAATTAAATGAAATGACTTTAGAAAAATATCGAACATGAAAATAATAATTGTCAATCATTTTCGGTTGTTAGGCTTCTCTGATTTCACTTTTATGTTGAAAAAATAAAATTATAATCATAATTCTTGACTTTTCTTCTGATTACTGTAGAATGAATATACCTGACCTTTGCTCATCTGAGTCATGAGTTCGAACAAAAAGATCCGTAAAATATTTTAGATTCCATGATGAAGCCTTATCGACGTCGCTTTTCCTGAATGAATGATATGTTATATATCCCTGGTGATCAAGCATTTTTTACAAGCAGGTACTATTGAAATCGCAATAGATTTCAACGTCAGTTGACGAACCTACGCACAGAATAAATATCTTCGATTTTTAATTTGTAGTCGAAAAGTATACTTGACGACGTGAAAGTCAGAGTTCTTATCGTCTTCTTGTACTTTCAGGATTGAATTGAGCGAATCCTTTTGGACGACACGTTACTTGTAATTCGTCTATATCACTAATCATTGCTTCCAAATATATTCAAGTATCTCCTATTATACGAAATGTTTGATTAATCATTTCTTCTACTTTGATTATTGGTATGACGGCTGTTATTGCTGCATTTCCACCACTCCCTGTACTTTTTATAATTTTCAGCACAATATAAAACAAACGTGAAAAATTATATGTAATTGATGTTATGATGTTTTAAGAGAGTAAGTGCTGTGTCGTGTAATTCCACGAAAAAACCTTTATAATATTTCTGGAATTTTTTCATATCAAATATGGTCCTTCATCATGTTCTAAAATCGTTTCCGTAAATAATCGATAATTAACTTTCATTCCTTCATCATATCTATTTGTTAATTGGAAATTCTCATGGTCATCGTTAGTTCTTTCGTACTCAAATGCAGAAGCATTATCATATAAGAAAATGTAAAACTATTATATGAATCATCATTAGAAGAGAAGAATACATTTTCTTTATCAAGTGATTTTGACACAGAATCAAATGAGTCTAAGACGAGGAAGAATAAGGATTTTAATATAAGTCAAGTTCAAATTAAAAAAAGAGAAAAAACAAATGTTTGAAATAGAATTTTATAAAGCAAATTTATTTATGCATCATGAATACAAAAAACACCATACTATGTCCGAATTACTAGTAAAGTATTTTTTAGGAAAAAACAACTTCAGCTCTACAATGATGAAAGTACTTATTTCAAAAAAATATGATGAAAATAATACCAAGGAAAAAAAATAGAATTCTCTGTTATGAAAAAAACCACAACAGGTGTTTCTTTATTCTAAAACAAATAACAGTCAAAGAAGTTCAATAAATTAAATCAGTAGAAAAATATTCATGTCATTGTCATATTTCAAATAAATAAAAACAAACGACATTCTTTATCACTCACCATTATGGTATACGATTAATGAATAATAACGAATTGAGAAAACAACGAGAAAATGGTTGTGACAAATCTATTCAAAAACATATTTGAAAAAAATGATTTTGTATCGAATCTTTTGAATAAAGTCTTCACAATAAGTACTATATAGACCATCTCTTCTCTTTCAAACTGTTTGTTGCTCTTCCTTTTGAGTGAGATTGAAAAGTTTTGCAGAGCACCATGATTGTTTTTCGTGATTTAGCACCATTAAGAAAAATCGTTTCAGATTCAGTATTATCGAGCAGAACCTCTTTGGTTTAATATAATCGAGCAGAAAATCTGCTATAATTTAGCATTCTTGGTTTCGTATAACGAAATAAGCAACTTTTTATAGTTGAGCATTGAGAAACAGAAACCTCTCAGTTCAGTATCGTCTAACAAAAACATTTGTACAGTTCAGCATTGATTGACAGAGCCTTTCATAGTTCAGCCTTATTTGACTGAACCCTTGATGGTTTTTCAATTGCTGTGCAGGACTTTAAATGATTCTGCAAAACTCCTTTTTTTTAGAGTATTTCATAATAAATCTGATACCCAATACTGCAATACAGAAGGAAAGAGAAAGCAAAAAACTTTTACTTAGGAGTACAAGTAGTATTTCATATTTTAGTTGTTGATTTATTGCTATGTACTTTTCGAGCATGCTCTCGAAAATAATGGCAAGTTTATTAAAAGCATCAGATACTATAATACATTTGAATACAAAAAATTGTTTTTAAGTCATATCATTAGGTTTCTTGTGTAACTTGTTGTTATTTCGACGTATTCTGAATAGTTGGTAGGTGATGAGGGAGTATATATTGCAGAGTAATAGTTTTCACTTTTTCGTTCATGATGAATTGGACCACTGTCAAGAGTGAAACGCACAGGGTTGTGAAAGTTGGAGCTATAAAATACAATATTTCTGGCGCAGGCTGCTGCGAGATCTTATTCCAAATAGCAAGAAAAAACAGAATTATCCCCGCAATTCCTATAAGACTACTTTGAATCAACATCTGTTGCATTATTTTCATCTCACGTTTCATATTAGGTGCAGCAACATTATTGTTAGCAGGAAGTCTAATTACAGTTGGTGCAATAGCCCAAACTCGACGAGTCGATTGACGAACGCGGTAAAAAATTATTTCATAAACAATTATTACAGCACTTAATGGAACAACATATATTGTTATAGTACCATATAATGAGCCAGCAGGTGTATGACTTGTCAAGCGACAAGCGCGAGATTCTTTTTCTAGTTCGTAAGAATCTTTAATGAAAAAAGGTACAACTGGTACTAGAAGACCAATTAACCACTGGATAATTATCATAATCCAATGAGTACGATACGTCTGAAGATGTTTATGTTTGTAGAAAACAGCGAAAAATAGACGACAAATTGCTTGAATTGAATATGAATAGCCTATAACAGCAAGACCTGCCGTCAAACAGTAACCTCGAAAAACGCAATGAGGTGCATAAAATGCCCAATCTTCTCGAAATGAATAGATAGATGTAATAATAGCATTGATCAAATAGAAACTAACTGCCACACATGTATTACATCCGAGTAAGTTAATAACATTGCGACATTGTTGATGAGTGATAACGATGACAATAATCATTACACAAAAAGCTATACCAATCACTGAAACTATTATTCTGAAAGAAGAGCCGATTGTATAATACAGATCTGGCAACATGCTGCTTCTCAATTGATATAGAACTTATTATGATGAGTACTGTTTTCTAATGAAAATATCATATATTTTTTTATAATAGATGTCATTTTTTTCTCAATTTACGCTTGTCTATGTAAGTTGTGTTTTATTTTGAATAGAAAATCGGATTTGACACTTGGACTCTTTATTTTTACAGTATATTAATCACATATTTTCATTGATGAGTGTTGATTCGCATGATAGTGTATTTCTGACACTGATAAATGATGATAGGACAAAGTTGAAGAAATTAATGCTATCCTTCTGAAAAATTTTTTCATAAATGAAAGAATGAGTGCATGCTAATTATATACTGGGTGTTCCAAAATATTTGCTACATAGTTTTTTTTTTGTGGATATCTCTGCACAGATAAATGATAAAACCTTGTTTTTTTTTTCAAAAGTTGCGCCATCGAAAATTCTACAAATGCGGTGCGAAATAGTATTTATATGTAGGTGTTTCATTTTGAATATGGAAAAAACCAACAGAACATATTAGAAGGGATTCGTTCTGACATTTTTATAGAACTTTTCATGGCACAACTTTTAAGGGTGAAAATTAGGATGAGTCAATTGAAAAAGAAGGCCGGCCTATCTCTTAATACAAGGACAAGTTCAATCTGGTACTCCCAACTCTTGCTTTTCAGTAATTCACTAAATCGAAATAAAAAAAATAATAAATTAATATATTTTATATCAATATCAAATAAAAATAAATGCAGAATTTGTTTTGTCGACACGTTGCATGTTATTTAGTATTAAATGTTAAACACCTATCAGGCGAAACTGTGGCATTGAAAAAAAGCAAAAATAAAAGATGACATAAAAATTAAAAATTAACTGAAATCGCAATGTATAAAGAGCAAGAAAAAATTAAAGAAGCTACAATTGATGCAAAGGTCATATTAACCTTTTAAAAATATTATTTTTTGATAAATGAAGCTAATGTTTATTATTTTAGAAAATAAATAGGGCGAAATAACACAGTTGAAACGATGTTGTATTATTTCCAAATATAATAGGAGTAGAATAATGTTATATTGTTTTAATTTATTTGAAATTCTACTTGAAAGTCCTAGTGATCTGGAAATATTTATGTACATATTATTTTTCTGAAATATTAATTGACCCAGCATCAAGGACATTCCTCTCATATACGTTCTATAGATAGGACGTATATCGTCGTCTCTTTGTTTACATTTTACTACACCATCTTTATCTGAGGTGTGAGTCATCATTCATCAATTCATTTGATTGATATTATTCGACTGAAATGCCTCCAAAAAAAGGAGAAGGTAGTACTAATCAATATGATCGATGTCGTGATAATCAAATCAAGTCACAACAACACTCTTCAACAATAAATGATACTCAAACGATTGAAAATCCCTCACCTGCATCTTTAAACCAATTAAAATTCTCCATTTCGCCTCTAAATCTAGAGTGAGTGAGATTAGATAAAGTTGAATTAAATGATATAATCAAACAACATTTTACGGATATTAAAATTTATGATATTCAATTTGCGTGCACAGGAGTTTTTACAATATTTGCAACTGATGTTAATTCATCTAATAGATTATTAAAGGATCTTACAAAAGTTCGTGCTGCTAGTGGTCAATTAACAGCAAATTTATTGGTACCAAGATCAATACAAAAAAATCAAACCTATAGAAAAAAAGTCGCTTTTATCAAGAAAGAATCGAATTACTGATTCACTAAAAGAAGTTGGATTTAGTGTGAAAAATGTTATTCGACTAACAAATAAAGAAAAAAATTATCCTACTCGAACGATTAAAATTGCTTTTAGTGACCCTCATACAATAGAAACACATTCATACAAATAGGTTTACAAATCGACTCAATGTATTTCATTAGACTGGTTCGATGTTATATATGTCCTAAATATAATCATGTAGCAGTATTTTGTAAAACACAACAACAAATATGTGGTCGATGTAGTGAAAATTATTATCTTGAGTAATGTCCTAATTCTTAACTTAGACCCAAATGCTGCAACTGCAAAGGTGATCATCTGACAAATTCATTTGATTGTTCAACTTATTATGAACAAGAAAGAAGAATTCAAAAAATGATTAATCAATATTCATCAACAACTAAACAAATAACAACTACAACAGTTCCGGCATTAAACAATAATGATGAATTTTCGCCTCTATCAAATCATCAATTTCGTCAACAGAATTTTATAAAAAAAATATAATGATTGATGAAAAAATAAATATTCCTATTTCCAAAATGGTAGAAAACTATTGAAGAAACAACAAATAGGTTATTCAATTTAATTTACCAAAGGATAAACAAAATAGAGAAACCTCTCTCTCTCTTCAAGAAAAATTTTACTCAATGAAGAAGCCAGAGGAAACAAACTGATTTCAAGTGATTTCTAGTATTAATTTAAGTACTCATCTTTCATTATATCATTGAAAGATGTGTCGCAAATCTATCGATATTGACGTAATAAGACAAATATTACAATATTATATGAATTTCACTGAAGAAAATTATGATAAAGCAATCCAGATCGGCATTTGAATGGATTCGAATATGATCGATTTCTTTCACAGATAATACGCGACCTGTCATTGCTGAACTGGATTTTGGATAATACAGCGTAATATAGGTGAACAATAGACTTGAAGTTGCTAAAAACTTTTCAAAGATAGCTTCGACGTAGTCTTGGAGTATGCTGAAGTACGAGAGTCATGTTTCTCCTTCCTTGATCTATTCCATCTTGCTTGTGTCGAGAACTATTTACATTAATTACTTCATGAATTATTCGATAGAATGATGAATGTCAATGTAAGACGGCTATAATTTACTTGTCAGAAATAAAAGTAGCAGAGCTTTTCGTTATTTCACTATTATTTCGTGATAAAGTTAACAAAAAACAAATTAAAAACGAATACTCTTCGTTTTCTTTTATTAAATATCCAAAATCCTAAAAATTTGATATAAAAACAACGGCATATGGTTGCTTATGACTTCACGTGATTTCAAACTGATTTCGGAGATTGAAATCAGTTTGTTCCCCTTTGGCGAAACGTGAAAAGGCATTTCTCTTACCAGAATTAGGACATCTCATTTTATATGATCAATTCGAAAACGGTGAAAAGATGTTATTTGTATTATTTCCTCTGTTATATTTCTTTGACATAAAATATTTTGAATAGATAACGCAAACAAAGTTTAATCATGCAGTATTTCTGTGAATGATGACTGATATTCTCAAGAGTAATATTTCTTGAAAGAGTCTTTGTTTTAGAAAATTTCCATTTTTCAAACGTTATTGGTTAAGGACTCAGAAAAAAATATAATACAATTCTGCAAAAGCTTATATCGATAGAAATTTTCATGTCAACATTTCTTGATGTTTGATTTCTATATAGTTGATGTAATTAACTCAGGATAATTCAGAAATACAGAATTTTGAAGATAGACAATGCTACAAGAACTATTTTGAAAAATATGTCTTGTACAAAACCTTGAGATCAAACATTGGGTGTGGGTGTGAGTGTGGGTGTGGGTGTGGGTGTGGGTGTGGGTGTGGGTGTGGGTGTGGGTGTGGGGTGTGGGTGTGGGTGAGTGTGGGTGTGGGTGTGGGTGTGGGTGTGGGTGTGTGGGTGTGGGTGAGTGTGGGTGTGGGTGTGGGTATGGGTGGATGTGGGTGTGCGAATGATGCTTCACCCTAATCCACAGCTACACCCACACCCACACTTACACCCATACTAACACCCACGCCCACAACCACACCCACTGAAAAAGGTTTTCGAATGAACTCTGTGAACGATTTTTCTGCAGGCATACAACATCTAGATAATACATCTGATGCAAGACATTACTATAAAAATTTACATTTTCACGACTGGAAGCAGATTTGAAAGAAATTAAATAATTTTTTCTGTTCATATGCATCCTTTTGAGTGTAGACTCATTTGTTTATATATATATATTCGGTACTTCCATGAGTGCTTTGAGAGGGGATATTCACTGAAGTAGTGTATTCCGATCATAAGTGTCATCCACTATGACTTTTGTCAAGCTAGAAATTCATCTAAGGGAGTATTTTTGTGGCCAACGTTCTAGCAAAGAGCATTTTCGGTTGATGTGCTAGGCGTGGCACGGATGTTTTATTCAAGTATTTTGGGACTATGTTGCGCTTGGCGCTAGTTTCGCGGTTGTGTTTTCCTTAGAGAGCTCATAAGTAGGAATGTTAGCGTTCCCGTCTCCGAGTGTTCCGTTTCTAAGGAACGAGAATGCATCTCATAGTACTCTTTGTGTATTATTTCAACATGCTGAGGTTTGTATACATATCAGTTTTTGTTTGTGTTGAAGTGTTATGCATTCCCTAGAGAGCGCATCTCGCGTTCCCAGGAACGGGAATCCATATCATATTAGATTTTGTAGCCTTGTTGCAATATAATGAGGTTTGTATACTTCTCTGCTCATCTTCTTATGCAAGGGTGATAGACATTCCCCTTCCTGAAAACAGGAACGTACTTTGTTATCCTGTTCCTGGGAACGGAACGCAAAAGTGACACCCATACCTGTGAGTAAACTGAGTATGATCTCGTTTTTACACTTTTTTGCAAAGTCGAAAAAAGAAAATGATCGTGAAGAACTCGAGTTTTTTTTTATCGAAATTGTGAAAGAGTGTGGACGTGAGTGCTACTAAGTTAGTGTGAGCTATGTAGACTTCGGTTGGGTATTAATATCTGGATATCAGAGTGATTGGATGAATCAATGACACAACATATCACATGGACTTGCATACACTCATGCACAACGACACTACCGCAACTATCAGCATCCACAATCGCACCCATCCTTTCACAAACATTGAATACTAGTGTTGTTACGGATTGTAAAGTAGTATATTACAAAGGAAGAGCTGAGTATTCAGTTGAGGATTAAGCGAGTCGTACCGATGAGCGTTACTTGTATTATACAGTGAATAGTTTAATCTTGATATTATTTGTTTCAATATGAAATTTATTGGATCTATTTTAATAAGATATGATGTTTTTATGGCATTCTCTAGAACTGTTTCTAAAAAAAACAATGTCTATTTTCAATTTTAAATCAATGTATGATTAGTATCCATCATTTAATATCCTCATAAAATTTTCTCATTCACAAGTCTAATGAAAAATCGTTATTTTAACTCATTGAAACTTTGTACAATAAAGCATTAGAAAGGTATTTGTTATTAGTTTTTATCACAATATCATATAGAATATATTATTCTTTTCTATTTTAACGTTATAGATTTGAGGAAAGATCTTTGATCGTTCTAGACGAAGAACCAATCTGAATTAAGGTTTTTTATTGTATTCAACAGAATAATAGTGACTCCGACTATCAATCATCCTGCATTGATGTGATGCATCATCCTTTTACAAAACTCTATCAATTAAAAAATCTCTTCTTTATTTATTTCTCCGCTTCATATCATCATCTTTCAAAAGAGATCACAAATTTTATTCGAATTACTACAACAAAAACACAATATAACATCAAAATCTATTTATTTTCACCCATTTATGACACTCTTACTACCTTCACATTTGGACACAATTTTATTAATCTGGTTATTGATCTTGTAAGGGAATATGTTGATAGAAATGAAGCTATCATTGCAAATAACATTGATACATCAATAAATATATAAGCAATTCGAAGATGATATTTTAGTGTCAGACTGAAGAATAATATAAAAAGCTTGTTAGCGCAGCCCCTATGGGGCTAAAATGGGAAACTCACATATGCTCTCTAACTTCAAAGTCTGACGCCTATTTTCTTCGGTTACTAAAGTCTGTAATGAGAAGGGCGGGGGGCAGGGGAGCTCCGAACCTTTAACTTAAAACTTACACTCACTATTATTTTCTTCGAAAACATATCTGAGTTCCACAAAGTTAACATCATACAAGGAAGAGGAATAGGATTAATACATATTCGTACTTCCTCTTAGATATCTTTATTCTATTATCATGAACGCAATGATTACATATACAGATTAATATTTTCAAATTTAAAAAAAAACAAAGACACAATGCAACACGAAAATAAAATTTCAGATGTTTCTGTTAATTTTCACCATTGCTGCTACTGTTGGTACAACTATATTTGGACGAACATTTATTAGTTTCTTTATGGATTTTTTAAGTGAATCTGTAAATTGAAACAAAGTAATCATCACACATATCACTGATAGATACATGAATATTATAGAAAAACGAAAATAATATTTTGGTGGAGTAGTGAAAAATGATATCATAATAAACACTCCATAAGGAAAATTAATTGTCATTAAAATCATGATAAGTATAACTATTCGATGAACCATTTTTAATTCCCGTTGTGCACGATATAAATTATTTGCAGATGTGACACAATTATTCATTTTTTTCACGTATCGAACTAAATTGAAATAAGTCAATCTAATCATCCAGGCAGGTAGCATATAGTTACAAAATGAAACAAAACAAATTGAAAAAGACAATCGAAGAGATAATAGACACACTTGGTTATCAGCATCATAGATTATTTTGCCAGTAAATAAAAATGGAACAGAATATACAAAAGAAAAAATCCATGTAACGCCAATAAGCAACATTTGTGTTCGCGTTGATTGCCAAAATAAACGAGTTGGATAAACAACAGTAACATATCGATTTATCGCTTGTAATAAATAAGAATAGTTCTGTAGAGTACATAAACTGTAAGTAAAATACCCTCGAAGGCTACAAAGTGAATCTTGATATTGAATTTGTTTAAGATCATTTTGTAATGTAAATACAGCCACGCCAAGTATATTCAATGCAAACATAACTTCAGCTAAACATGAATTTGCAATTAGTAGCATTGAAATTGTATGACATGTTTTATCAAAAACAATAATAAATAAAAGGAGTGTTCCAAATCCAATGGCTAAGGAAGTGCAAATGATCGCTAAAATATCAAGCGGAATAAACCATGACTCAACAGCAGCTACAGCTGAGTTGTTAACAAATGTCACTGATACTGTAAATAATGTTGAATTCATTTTCGACAAAGTAAATAAATCAATTGATTTAATATTGATATTTTATCTATTGAGTAAGCCATGCACGATATTTATGTGAATGAGAACTACCCATGTATAAAAAAAACGATTAAAAATTAGATTAAAAATCAATTATTATGGCACTATTTTAATCTGTTCTAATCGGTTAAAAAAACTTTAATCAATTCAAATCGATTTCTTATAATCAGTTGTAATTGATTTAATTTAAATAATCGATTAGAGTAGATTAAGAAGACTCAAATCAAATGAAATCTTGTTTTTAATGCTGAAAAATCTGAATAAAATCAGATAAAAATAGTGTCATTATAATCGATTTTTAATCTAATTTTTAATCGGTTTTTTTTTTCATATGGGATACTCTTTGAGTATTAAGGCAAACATTTTTCTAGAGGTGCTGGCTTAGCATTAACATTGCATTAATCTAATACTTTTTTAAAATGCTTTTGCATTAGAGTTAAAAATAATATCTTAATGGTTTTGTGTTAGTATTAAAAGAGTTAATTAACACTGGCATTAGTTATGAATTAGTATTAGTATTAAAAATATCATCAGTTAATACTAGTGCTCACGAAAAATGTATTCAATAATGGAAATTTGGTATTAATTTTAATTCAATGCTAATACCAAGGTATGAATTAATGCTTCTAATGCTAACACAAAAGCATCAAGGTATTTTTTTAATTCTAATACAAAAAGTATTAGCATTTTTTTAATACTAGTGCTAAGCCAACATCACTACATTTTTCTTTTTTACAGAACGCAAAGAAAACATGAAAATAAAAACATAATATCTATCTTTAGTTTTTGAACTGCTCTTTCTGACTAGGAAATATTGAACTATCTTGGTGAGTAATTAGAAGATGTCAGCAGCAAAAATATTACTATTCTGTTCTTTTTGATTGAGAAGATCAAAAGCAGCTGTAAGAAAATTATCAGTCTAAAAAAATATATTTAACCTGATAACCCAGGTCAAAGTCGTCCGATAGAATCCTATCAGATTACCATGTCATTTCGACAGATGGATCTGACTATCGAAATCCTGTACCAAGAAAATCATTGGATCCAGCAAAAGTTGGTAGGATCCTACCAAATTCGCCGTTTTTTCGATGAGATCCGATAGGATCCCACTATGAGATTTGTCGCCCTGTGAAGCAAAAGAAAAACTTCCTCAACTGAAGGGAGGATCACATGAAATAAAATGAGTTTGTGTGTTTGTATGTTTGCATACACGTATAGAGTCGCCTATCTGTATGTTGTGATGATTGTGTAATATATGAAGTTTGATCTGAAGTAAACGGGGCGGCGAATCTGAATCTGCAATCAGATTTTCAAAATTTTGAATTGGATTTTTCTCGTCAAGAAGAGGCTATTTTACGAAAATAATGAATTTTTAAAAAGTTTGAATGAAGGCTTTCGGGGTTGAAGAATCCAAAGCTGCTGTTAGGTGGTCAGAAATCCGAATTCGAGTCTTTGAAAAAATAATTTTTCAAGGAAATAGTGTTCGCTTACGAAGTTTAGTCAAAAGGAAGCGCGGTCGAGGACTGCGGATATGAAATCAATTTCTCGAAACTGCGTATTCGTTTTTTTAATGGAGAAAGCCTCGTTGCACATGGACAATAATCGACTGTTGTCAAAGTGCATTCTAATTAGAGTACTGTACGGGTACAACTTTTCGTACTCATACCCTATCCATACCCGTCAGTTTCGTATACATACCCTACTCGTATCTACAACCTCAATATCTACATTTGACCGTATTCGCATCATAACCGTAATTTAAAATATAAGTTCAATATTTCTTTATTAAGCATTATTAGCCCTATGACTATGATAGTCCAAAAGGGACAATAGAGCTCAAATGCCGTTTGTACCGGGTGTAAGTTGAGTTTAAAAAAATACGAAGCAGCATATACCATGAAATAAACATGTGACCAAATATGAAAAAAGAAAAGAAAAGTACAAACGAATGAACGAAAGAGAACAGAAAACAAGAACTGGACACAGTGAAATTAGAAGAAAACAAAAGCAGCAGTAGATGCCATGTTCTGAGGAGATGAGTATATGTGTCTTCTTTCTTTCTTTTTCCTTTCTTTTTTTTTGTTTCCTCTATACTCAAACTTTCATCCTCGCTCCTCGTTTATATGGTGTTCTCCCTTCATTTTACCTTTCTTCTCATCTCTCTATGATTCATCACTCGGCTCTTCTCTCCCTTTCTTTGTCAGCATGACCTTTTAGTAGCTTCTACTAGATTTCACTAACTGAAACTTTCCGGAAATAGGGCGAAACTCAAAAATTCTTCTTCATTACGTTCTACTACGGAATCTGAAGTTCCACGAGTTATCATCCATCTTAGCGCTTGTCTTGATACATTTATGTACGGAACGAATCTTTTTGATCTACGAAGACATCGAATATGTTCTGCTCCCTCTTACCATTCTGCCCTATTTGCATACAATTCCTATTGTTCCATTGACAGGTATCCCTCCTTAGACTTCGACAGCGCCTTTACATATCTTTCCTAACAGACATAGCAGAGATCGTCCAATGATTTTTCATTACAAATAGACGAAAAGACGAAGTCCTTCCAATATTGACTATGGTACACTCGTTTTAATTAGAGTGTAATAGAAATGATTAAGTTCAATCCTCTGCGATTCAGTAAATAAAGGATATAGCCCAAATAACCAAGTGAACTGTGGCAGTACGAAAGTGGAAAAGAGTAGGGTGTGCGGGTGCGGATGTGAAGGTTCAGTTCAATCACACCCACACCCCCTTCAAAGTCATTTTAGATTGTATAAATGCTTTCGCCTCTTTCTTAATATTGTCATATAAACAAAGAGTAAAAATGAAGTTGTGAGTCAGTGATGGTGAAGTTAGCTTCGTACAATAGTGACATCGATAAACCATCACTTTTGGACTTCTGTATATTCTGAGAATAGAATAGTATGTTAAGTTGAAATCAAATTCTATTGAACAAGAACATTTTGATATGTCGCCGAACGCAAAAAAAATAGTTTCTTATCAAAAAATCTCTTTATCTGCGAATATATCATATTCTTCAAGTAATTACACAATATCAAGTATGTTTTTATATGTAGATAACAGTTGTTTATGAATATGAAAAACAGGTTCGATGGCGTTCAATTACTATAAAATTCATCTGGTCATATAGCTTAACATCACGTAAATAAAACTTAAATTTTTCGAATTAAAATGACACTATTTTTAAAATATTTTGTCGTAAAACTCTAATTCATTTTCATTGTCTTATTATACAGAATACTTCTAATAAAATAGTGTTAAATCTGACGATTTTTAACCAGCATATTTTTTATGGATATCAATTCGATTGATTTGTACGTTGTACTGTTGTTTTTTTAGACTTTCGTGATAGTTTATGTTAGATTCTAAATCATTTTTTTTCTATGATGAATACGAAGAAGACTCTAACCAGTATGATTAATCATCGAAAATTTGAATAATTGTCTATTACAATTACTAGTTATCATGAATATTTCACAGAAGAAAAGTTTGATTCAAATGAACCATTTTCTGTAGTTCTCATACTATCTGGACACAGTAGGATTTAATCTCTGTTAAAAAATTTTTCGTAAGATTCATAATAACGTTTTATCAGACAAGTCTTCACTAATCTATCTTGTTTTGATTTTTTCCCAAAGTGAAAAAAAACGGTTTAACGCGCTTCTAACAGTACTGGCAATCTGCTTCCTCAAAACAAACGACAATTAAACATTTAGTTTCAAGTAAATCAATCATATTTTATTTAAAAAGAGAAACCATAATTAAATCTTGATCGTTTTGGTATAAAAGAGTTACTTTTTTCCGTAGATAAGTATATGTTTAATCTTATGTTCTTTTTGAAATCGAATTTCCGAAAATATCCAAGAAAGAAAAATATTTTCCTACTCTTTTGTTACTTATCAGAGTCTATTGAATAGAAGATCTTTTAATGCACAAGTGATTTAATATATGATTAGTGCTATTTAAAAAAATCTGTTGAAAAAGAAAACTCTTGATGGTAGAACTTTGTCTTCATTGCCCCCTTGTAATGTGCTTAAATATATTTACAGTGCGCAGTACATACATGATATATTTCAAAAGTCAACATATTTCATTAAGAAAAAAAATTTCAGTATTGAATTTATTTGTTCTCGGAATAGAGATGATTATACGTATGTTATTGCATTAATTTTGTTCGTATTTTTAAGCCTTTATGGCTCTTGTTGTACAAAAGACATATTTTTCTTTTTGCACGAAACATAATGCCGATTAACTTATTTTGATTTCTCATACCTTTCTTGGAAATTGTGCGCAACATATAACTATAGTAAATCATGATAATAATCAATTTTAAATAAGGAAAATTAGATTAGTAAACGATGTCAGTGACACGGCAGTTGAGCTTCAAACTTTTGAGCCTTCAGATATTTGAGCCTTTTATAGACAACTAGAAGATGTGGGTATGGGTGAGGGTTTTGATGTGCGTGCGAGTGCGCTTATGGGTATCGGTGAAGATGTGAGTGTGAGTACGATTGTGGTTGTGGGTGTGGATAAGAGTGCGGTTGCAGGTGTAGATTAGGATGTGGGTGTGAGTGCGGATTCCGGTGTGGATGTCAGTCCTCAGTTCTTCGACGTCCACAGCCACAGCGTTTTCGTGTATGTACAAGACAAGAATCTTTCAAGAGAGCGAGAGCTTTATTTAGTTTCTCGTTTTGTTTCTTTAACAAAGTCCATAAGTATCACAATTCTTCACGTTGATATTTATGGAATCATAAATGTCTGGAGGGTCAAATGTCGGGCCTCATCTGTCGGTGTACCAACGATGTNCAGCACACTCACACGACACCCACATCCACAGCACACCCACATCCGCAGCACACTCACACGACACCCACATCCACAGCACACCCACATCCGCAGCACACTCACACGACACCCACATCCACAGCACACCCACA